CAGGAAGCTTACAACACAAGAAACAGATCTTCCAGATAGAATGTATCTACAATAAAACCTCACAGAGTGGCTGGAGAGGTGGTCAGGATCAGAGGAATCTCTTTGATCCTACTGCTTGAACTAAGACTTTACAAATTTAAGAAACACAATGACAACATTCAACAATTTGACATAACAGCATACTGCAAAAGCAACCCAAGAATTTCTCAAAACAAAAAGATTGGATATATTTTGTCTGTGGCCTAGTCAGTCAAAAGAGCATATTTTCAGTTACTGGAGATAAAAGTGAATACATAGCATCTCAAAGTAGGTTAAACAGCATTTTTTGATGTCCATGGGTTCTAAACTTCAGGCACTGCCTGCAAAGGATTTTTACACAGCCCTTAAAAACATTATCTTTAACTTAGATAAAACAGTCCGATTATTTTTTGAGTCTCTGAAAATAGAGGACACCGGATAAAATTGGCTGTAATTCTCAAAAGGGTCATGTAAAATCTGTGTAAAACTCTTTGAGTTAAAAGCTGAAAGTCTAGACTTAAATGCCAACTTGATGGTTTGATTTAAAACAATAACTGGGGTAGTGCATAAAAGGAAAATGACAAAAAATGTATCTTTGTTTTGTAAATTATGGACTTAGTTCTAATAATTCACTGGCTTTTCAGAGCTGGCTTGACACAAACAAAGTTGCTACATTAGTTACTGACTAACTGAAACTACATGTTAAGTTTTTGTGAACGCATTACAAAGGCATGATGTAAAATGTGTCTCAAATATAACAGTGATGTCCACAAGATGGAGAAGGAGCAGGAAGCGGAGAGAGAGAGAGACAGAGTGCGTTCCACCAAATTGTTCGAGTCCAAGTTCAACATTGACCCCCCGCCTAAGGTATAAATTATTTTTAAGCTTACCTACTGCTCAGTCTTAAAATTTGGATGTAACAAATTACATTTTTATAATCTTTTACATTTCCTGAAGCCTTCAAGAATGAAACCAGCCCGGTTTGGGAACACACTCAGTATTGGTCTGCACATTCAGGTACTTTTAAGCAACCTCTAGACACATCCTTTGAGGTAGCTTTAATTTTTTTCCATATATAAGTGTGTGTCTGTTTGTATCTGTGCAGCTCAATGAGGCTCTGTGTGCCAGCTCACCTGACCTGGCCAGCCCATGTGACTATCAGTCTCCTGTCGACTCCAGCAACACTCTCACACTACCTGCCAAGTCGCCCCGGCGCCGCAGCATGGGGGTAAGAGACACTAAGCACTTCCTTTAAAGGTTTAGCTGCACAACCTACTAAAGCACTGTATTATACTGTGTCGAACGAGGATACTCATGCGATTCTTTGTTTTAGTAACATTGTAATTACACTTTTCCATCGTTGTACTTGTAGGAGAACGAGTTTTTCAGAGTGGAACGGAACACCGGGGAAGACGCCCAGCTCCTGTGGCAGAGGGAGAAACACCAGATACATGAAACGCTCCGCAAGCAGAAAGAGCAGATGATGGAGGATAAAAAGTGGCTGAAAAAGGAGGAGAGACTGCTGGTGGGGAACAGAGCATCCTTTACTTTTGTCAAACCCCTCCCTGTGTCTCTGTCCTCCTCTGGTTCCGAATGCAGTGTAGCTGTGAAGGCTACATGGAACGAGGCACCATTAAATAATATCAACCTACTTGTCCATCCAAAAAGCCCCACTAGTCTTAAATGGAATGTGCCCCTGATAACAGATCCAAAGAGAGGGTCTATATCTCTGTTGTATAAAATGAACTTGCCTGTTTCTTTGCAGGACCCCATGGGAGTAGAAGATACTGCCAATCCAGAGGTAGGTGTGCTCCTGTACAGAGTGTAATTTTAATCACAGGCAGTTTAGTGAATCAATTTAGTTACAATGGAGACATACATTTTTTTCAGATACCTAAAATACAAACAAAGTATATGTTTGGGTTTTTTTTTACATTGTTGTCAGTCCAGTTGTGACTGTTTGTGATCACTGAAAAATGAGCTTCGTCATAGGTCACATTTCCTGCAGGGATCAGTATAGACCACTATTAGTCAACTTAGTTTAAATCTTTTATTAGATATTTTATTAAATAGAAACTTGTGCACCTGAAGTCTATCTATCATGATAAAATTATTATAATTGCCATTGTCTGATGTACGGTGGCCCTGTGAGGCCAAACGGACTGCAAGAAAACACCAGCAATAAGAAAAGTGCTGCAAAAGCACACAAAACACCCACGGAAATAGGAAAAACGGAAACGGAAACGAGGTTATTGTCGGGTTATTGTCTCCCCAGAAAACCTTCCCTTGTGCGTTTGGAAATCAGTTTTTGCCTATTTATGTTTACATGTTTTCTATTTCTGTTTTCTTTTTTCCTATTTCCGTTGTGTTTTGTGTGCTTTTGCAGTGTTTTTCTTATTGCTGGTGTTTTCTTAAGTTGCAGTCCATTTGGCCTCACAGGGCCACCGTACTAAACTACTATACTACAACTAAAGCTTTACTACATATTTGTATCACCAAAACTACTATAAAGGTCCAGAGCTGCATAAAATAAACACATGATATACGTTATTACATTTTTAATTATTATATATTTAATATTAATAAAATATTTATATATAAAGTGTTATTATAACCCTAGAAAATAATGTATGTTTGTGTCATTTGACTGTCATTTTCTTTGATGAGGCATCCACATGATATATCCTGCAAAGCCTTTCCCCTTTTTCTTAATTTGAAATATACATTTATGACAGGAAGTGTGTTATTTAAGAGTATTGTCACTTTAATTAAGCATTTAAAGTTTAAAAAAGTATTAAAAGGCTAATTTATCAAGTCTAGATGATGAGCAGTGTTTAACAAATTAATTAGATGACCTGTCATAAAGAAAACATGCAAATATTTTAGAAATCTGTTAAAAACTTTAAAGCTGAAAGAGACATTCCATGTGCAAGTTTGAGGCAGCATACTGGACTTCCCTGAGGAGTCAGAAATTAATCAGACATAACATTCAACCACTAAAATGAATTTTCCTGTTCATGAATAACTGACATCTTAATCAAAGAATAATAATGTCCTTTTAGAAACGAGCACCTCCCTGCTTTTTATGAAACAGTACATTTAAAAATTAATGGATAACGAGAATCATTTAATTTTAGCATTAAAAATATCAATTTGATTAAACACCTTGTTCACACTGGTGTAATAATCAATACAGAAACACAAAAAATGATTTTGGTAATTACCAATACTGTTAATTTAGGGCAGCAGGGGCATAAACCTAATACTGTTTTTTTAAGCGCTTTTCTCAGCTTAAACTGACCAGCTGATTGGTCTCATATAACTATCAGCAGCATCAATTATTATGATTACTTTTGTGCGTTGTTGTCAATATATAATGCGAGCTGTTGATTAGAAAGTGTAGAATTGTAAAAATTCCTCATCTCGTCCTCATGAGATCCTTTTGTTCTTTTAGCCGGCTGACATCGAGATTGGTAAGCACTCAAAGCAATTCACAGATTCACATCTAAAATGATCTAAAGATGTTCCTTCGCTCCTTTTGTATTTGATCTGCTATTTCTCCTCATCTGTCATATTTTTCATCTTTCTGCCATACAGCAGTGCCTGAGAAGCCGCCACGACTCACAGCAAAGGTAAGCAGATTTAGTTTTCTTAAAATTATTTTTAGGCCATAGAAAAAGATCATTCAATTTAATAGCTTTGATTTTTGGATGAAAAATTATTCATAATTTGTCCTTTTTTTTTTGAAAGGGCATCGATGCCACTGTTTTATCTAAGTAAGTGTCTTGTGATGTTATTTAGTATTTCAGTTCTTAAAATCTATTTACTCCTTTTTCAGCCTGCGCCCACAGCTGAGCTTGACCGCACAGATGACAAAGTATATCACTGCGTCATGAACTTGGTCAAAGTAGTCGTCCAGCTCAAGAATGACATCGCTGGGCTGCAGCCAGAGCAATGCATTACCCATATCAAGGTACACTGAGACAAATGATCTGCTTTGCACTTCAGTGTTACAGTTTGTTGCTGCTTTAATGCCAAATTTTGAAATGCAAAGACAAAGCTCCTGAGTCATTTCTGTATTGATTTCTGCCCACAGTCTGTTGGGATGGCATTAAGAGATTTAATTACCAGTGTGGATGAGATACTGCCCACCTTACACGGGTCTGTGAGGACGGAGGTACAGTATGACAGCATTATTTTATTATTTCATTTCCTTTCTGTGCATTTTTATCCCTTTAAACACAAACAAAGCAAAAACTATACAACTATTTTATCCCTTTAAATCAGGAACCATGAAAAAATTGCCAGAAAATTCAATTTTCTTTTTAAAAATAGTGTTCGGTGAACCTCCTGACATAATAAAGAACATTAAATATGATTTTGAATATATGCATTTTAATTTATATAATATTTGCTACAAAACATTTTTTCCAGTTTATTTCTTGAAACTTTTTACTTTAAAAAAAAAATCGCACTGATGTAGAAATCACAAAAACTCATCAAATATGATACACTTGCCTTTAAAGTTCACATTTTTGGAGGGGGACAACCAGAATCCATATTTTTGCATCATAAAAGTACTGACGCAACGGCAGATTTCCTCAGCCGAAGAGCTGGCGAAACATAAAACTCAGTCATCAAAACGCCAATCTAAACGACTGATCCATTGGTCTTCTGTAATATCGCAGATCGAAGGCACCCAGAAGCTGCTGAACCATGACATGGGGGAGCTGATCAGCAAAATGCGGTTGGCTCAGCAGAATGCCATAACTTCTCTAAAGGAGGAGTGTAAGAAACAGATGCTGGCTGCCGCACACACTCTGGCTATGGACAGCAAGAACATGTTGGACGCTGTGGATCAAGCAAGAGTCAGGGCCAATTTAGCAAAGCCTGCTCCCCCCTAAAAGACATTAGATTTTTTTTTTCAGTTTCACATCAAACTAAATAGGGACTTCTTTTTTTTTTTTCTTAATATGTGAAAGTCAAAAATAACATTTGTGCATTGTAAAGCATGCATTTTTAGTTGGATCACATCGATCAATCAGTGAAATGAATCCTGCAGCATCACCGGTACTTTGGATAGCCACTGTCACGTTAATGAGAGTTTAGTTTAAATGTGATGCTACATATGGATGCATGTGTATTTTTAGGTAATGCGATAATACAGAAATGTGTCATTTTCCTTTTGCGGTCCCCTTGCATCATGTTTAGGATGTCAGTTATGCTAAATTTTAAATGATAACTGTACCTGTGTGTGATTGGTGAAGTGTTGACTCAGATATTTGCTTTGAAAGTTGTATTTGTAAATATAAAATGTGTTGCATGGGAAATGTTTCATGCAAAAAAGAAAACACATGCGAACAGTTTACTTTTGTCAGTAGTGAAATGTAAATATAGCATCAATGGCGTTTTGTTGTCGTCTTTGGTTGGCTGTATCGCAAAAAGTCATGGGAATTAAAATCCTCCAACCAATGAAGGAAGCTCCCAAAAATCATATCCACGACAGATTAACCTGGTTTCACTTAAATCCAACCAAGATTGCAGGATAAGTAGCGAATTTTGTGAACGCTGAAAACTGCCTTTAAAATGACAAACACGACGTGGAGCTTGTTTGGCTGAAGAGTCATTAGGTGATCAAATTACTGCAAATTCTGAGCCATACTCTAGAAGGATGAGTGATTCTAGTGAACTGTAGAGGGAGGGGTGGATGTGTGCCTTGCCATGGCATGAGCTCACTGGTCGTCTGGCTGGATGAGATAAAAATGACCATATAAAAAGGTTAGTTGGCCATTTAAGTGGCATGACTCACACTAAAACAATAAACTAAAGAGCACAGTATTATCCTCGCAAAGACCCAGCAATTCATTGTTGTCCTCTGTTAGGGACATGAGTCTGAGACCTCTGCATAGGGATGGGTATTGATAAGATTTTCACAATTCCGATTCCATTTTCGATTCTGTTTAACGATTCGATTCTTTATTGATTCTCTTATTGATTCTTTTTAAAAAAGGAGAACACTAAGGTCGAATACCCTAGAACTTTGTTTTATATCTTCTCGTTGAACAAGATAGAAATTTAGGAGTAACATGGTCTTACAAACCCAACAGTGAGATCTTAAGAGATCCACAGCCTACGGCTCTTC